ACCCTCTTTTATGCATAGACCCGAATAGGAAGCACCCACATGCCCACCTCTGAACTAAAAACCCAGGGCCTGGATATTCCTCAGGACTGCCTTTGAGGTCCCCAGCACGAGTGCCTGCCTCCCACCTGCAAGGCCACCACCCTGAGCCACCATTCGTCTCCTGTCTTCTGCTTCCCTTTTTTCTTGACCACGGGTATTCCCGGAGAAGAATATTTTAAGACCATGACCGTGGTGGCCTCACTGTGCCTCCTGCCGGCTTGGAAGCCACCTCCAGGCATCCTAATATCTGAGCTTGGAGGTGCCCCCCAAGCCTCCAGTCGATGGCGCAGTCAGTGTCGTTTTCCCTTGGAGGGGATGACATGCCTTATAATCAGTAGTATCTTCCATTTAATAACCTATGGTAACTGCAAGCCAGAGAGAGAGAGAGAGAGAGAGAGAGAAATTAGTCTTTCATTGTTTCCTGGGAATGCCCCCAAAAAGGAGAGACTGTTTTTAAGTAGATTTTTACTCCTCCAAATCTATTTTAGAAAGGGGAGTTGTTTTTAATTTTGTAAATAGGAGCTTGGCGGGGGGGTAAATAGGAGCTCACACGGCATGCAGTCTTTGGGGATCCATCTGTACATGTAATGTTAAATAGCTAAATTCACTCACATCATCTGATGTTCCAGTGTGTGGTCAGCTGAATAATTGCCTCCAAAGACCGCTGTGCCCCTGTTCTAGGGGCCCGTGAATGGGCCGCCTCCGGTGGTAAAGGGACTCTGCAGGTGGTATTGAGGTGAGGCCCCAGAGATGGGGGTCCTGGGTAACAGGGTCAGTGTCCTCCCAAGGAGGGTCCTTGCAGTGGGAGAAGGAGGATTGGAGGCGCGTCTGGCTGTGAGGGTAGAGTAAGGGCCTGAGCCCAGATGCAGCGCCTCTAGAGGCTGAACGGACAGGAGATGGGCCCCTGAAGCCTCAAGGTGCAGCCTGCCCCAGCGGGGTTAGCCCCAGGAGGCTGTGTCAGATGCTTGTCCTCCAGAACTAAGATCAGTGGGGTGGTTGTCACCCTAGGTGGCAGCCCCCCCCCGCCCCCGCCGCCGACAGCAGCTGCAGGGAGCTCACTCACAGCAGCCTCTCGTGGGCCTGGAGTACAGTGTCCTGCTGACAGCCGCACTCAGTGGTTCCCCCTCCTGGGGATGACTGTGGTCCTGTCTGCATGACGGCTGTTCCCAGGCAGAGGAAAGTCTGTCTTCAGGGCAGCAGCCTGTCCCCGAGTGGGGTGCTGAGGTGAAGGGACCCCTATTTCTAGAGGGAGGCACAGTGGCATTTGTACACAGCGGGTCTCTGCAGATGTGTGTTGCTTATGCAAGCCCTTTGAAAGCGCGCTGGCAGCTTTGTTCTAGCAAATGGTGGTGACTGGCTGTCTCCTCCCCAGGTAGGACGTTGTGGGGGGGGGGGCGGGGAGGCTCCTCATCCCAAACTCGCTGGAGACAGGGTCTGAAGAGGTATGAGTCACTGTGTCCTTTCAGGCCTGTCTTGCTTCAGCAGGGACCCTCCATCTCCTGCATCCCATTTCACAACTGCTCCCCCAGGTCTGGGAGCTCAAGACCTCCCCCCACCCCCACTCAGCTGGGGGGCATTATTCTAAGGGGCGCTTTCAGGATTCACAAAAGAAACCACCAGGAGAGCCTTGTGTTCAGTTTTGTCTTCCTTTCTCAAGGTGACCACGTCTGGGGCCCGCAGGCACAGGGCGGCACAAGGCAGGTTCACTGTGGCTTCTGGCAGACAGCTAAGGAGAGTCCAGGAGCCCTCAGTGGATTTTTTAGGCTTTAATGCTCTCTCAGGGGCAGGCAGGGAGGTGCACATGGGCGTGCCAGGCAGGGAGGCTGGCATTCAAGGGCCCGGCAGGGGCAGGGGGCTAGGGCTAGGCAGGCAACCGAGCCTCCCAGCCCGCCACGAATCTCTGTAAGCTCTCTCTGGCTCCCTCCGGCCTTCTCTCGTGGCCTTACCGCTCCTGTAGTCACGCGTCCTCCCGCAGCCGTCCTCCGTCGCTGAGTGATGCCGCCCTTACAGCCCTGCCCTCCAGGCTCAGGTGTGCGCACTTACGCAGGCGTGCGCACCCAGGCTCCAGGTGTCCACAACCAGGCACACGCGCCCCGCGGCCACGCTCCCAAGCGCCCCTGCGTTGACACATCAGGGCCGCTGGTGATAGCCACAGAGGCTAGTGGCGCAGAAAGCCTGATTAATTCACTTACCCTACACCACGGCACAGTGGAAAGCCCAGAGCCGAGAGGTAGCCGGTTACGGGGCTTGCTCAGGCCCACTGCTAACTGCTCAGCCCATGCGCTTCCCAAGCATCATCCCCATGTTCCTCCTGCTCCAGGGGCCACTCCTACGACACTGACAGGACACATGAGATCCCAGGAATCACCAGTGCCCGAGTGCCAGGCTCTGCCAGAGCTGGATGGCCAGAACACAGGGTGATCCCTGGGGTTGGGTCCTCCCCTCTCATGGGGACACTTGGCCTTGAACCATCAGAGGCAAACGGGCCCAGCGCGGGGTCTCCGCGGGGTGGGCATTGCCCTGGGACTAGCCAGTGGCCTGTGAATGTCCTGACAGTCCCCCGATGGCCCCTGATGTAAATGATGTGCTTTCCAAGAGCAGTTCGTCTCTGACCAAGGCACTTGGTGCTCCCTACCTTCTGGCTCTGTCATCTGGGCTGGGGTCGGTGCTGCTGGTGGCTCCTGAGGGCAGCTTCCAGGTGAGGCCGGCAGCCTGGCTGGAGCAGGCTCTGCTGTCACTGGCTTGAAATTTGTGCTGATTTTTGAGTCAGGGGTTCCTTTTGCCTCTGGCTTTGTAAATGCCACGTAGGTCCTTCTGGGTCCCACCTCCTGGCTCTACTGCTGGCCCTTCGGGGGGTCCTGGGGCTCTCCACAATGGGGAGGGGTGCCCAGGGCACAGCCCAGAGCCAGCTTGGTGGGACTGGCTCGCGGCCCTGGGGACAGAGCTTCAGGGACATGTTCTGCCCATGCTGCTCTCTGCTGAAGCCCACGCCCATCCGGCTCCATCTCAAGTCCAAGTTCAGGGACCCAAGAACAGCCATCAGCTGGCGTTAAAGGGCTGGGGGAAGGGAGCTTTGCATTGGCAGATGTGAGGGCAGAGTGAGAAGCCATCTTAAAAATGATTCACACGCTACTCAGCGACCAAAAAAGACAAACTCATGCTATTTGCCGCAACGTGGATGGAGCTGGAAGGGATGGTGCTCAGCGAGATAAGTCAGAAGGAGAAAGATAAATACCGGATGGTCTCACTTATATGTGGAATATAGAGAAACCCAACAAAGGGTCAGGCACAAACTTTGAAAGCTGACCACGGATCTGAGGCCTCCACGAGGGGAGGGCGGCAAAGAGAGGTGAGACGGGAGGGGAAGAGCACATTGCACTGTGACTGAGGCTACCAGAAGGGGGGTGATGGGGTACCGCGAAGGGGGGAGGAGACCAAGGGAGGATGACTGGTGGTGGGTGGGTGAAGTAACTCACACTTGTGGAGGTGTAAACCTACACCCCAAGGCATGTACTGTGATGGAAATCAACGTCACCTCAATAATTATAACTTTAAGAAAAGAGGTTTGAAGGGGGAAAAAAAAGATTCATAAAACCTGAGTGTCCACAGCAGTGTGGTTTATAGCCAGTAGAAACAGCCTGGGTGTCCCTCCTGTGACGAGAGGATGAGCCCAGCATGGCTCCCCAAAACGAGAACATCATTCGACCATGAAAGGGGGGCAGCTCTGACACTTGCCACCCCGGGGAGGACCCTGAACACTCACCGCTCAGGGAGAGAAGCCAGACACACGAGTCCACGCGGTGTGAGTCCATGACGAGAAACGTCCAGGACAGGCCCAGCCACAGCCAGGGAGTGGGTTTATGGTGCTAGGCCTGGGGAGGGGATGGGGAGACGCTACTGGGGAGGGGGTTTCCTTTAGGGGTGACACAGTGTTCTGAAATTGGTTGTGGCTTCAGTCGAAGGACTTTATGAGTAGGCCATAAACCACTGAGTTGTGCTCTTTCAGAGGGCGGCTTGTATGGCATGAAATTGTGTGGCTTTTTCATGCCTAAAAATTGATCCCCAATTTATTAGACACTGGCTCCTGGTTTTGATAATGTCCCCCAGTCATGAAGGTGCCACCGCTGGTGGAGCAGAGTGAAGCATGCCCAGGACCCTCTGTACTGTTGTTGCAACTTCTTGGGAGTCTTTGATTGAGCTTGCAGACGTTGAAGGACCCTGTGTGTAGACGGTCCCTGCAGGGTTGAGGCAGGTCTTGACCTCTAGGTCCATGGGCATGGTGCTCCTGCCCTCTCATCTCTCATCGCTGCCAGCCCTGGCTGTCCAGGGCACCCCTCTCACCTCTCAGCACCTCCTGTGCTAAGTGGTACCTCTGACATTGCAGATCCTGCTAGTTTCCATTCTAGCAGCAACAGAGCCCCAAAGGGCTTGGGGGCAGCGCCACCTGCAGGTCACTTGTGGAATTTCAGTTCTCCGTCCGGCCTTTTACTGACAACTACCAAGCTGGACCTGAAGAAAGGAAACAGGCATTTAATTTTTGTTTTGTTTTGTTTTGTCGTTATGGAGTTATTTTTAAAACAAACTATTTCAGAATAATTTTAGTTTTTTTAATTTTAAGGTTATTTATTTATACAAGCACTGGGTACAGTCAGAAGCACAGGAGGGTGAGAGAATTCACCAGAGCCAGAGCGGGGAGCAGAACAGGCAGAAGGACCAAAGCACACTGCTGAGGGGAGCAGCGGGCGGCAGGAGAGGTCTGCGCGCCATGTGGGACCCTCGCCTGGTGGCCGGGGATCGAACCAGTGCTGCAGAGGCTGTGGGCAGCTTTGCAACCCAGAGCTCAACCACTGTGCCACCCGGGAGGCCCCAGAATAATTTTAGATTTTTCGGGCCTGCCCTTCATTGCAGATGCCCGCAAACACTCACCTCTCTGGAACTGAAGTGTCACGTTTTCCTTCCAGGAAGCAGGCATTTGGCTCCTGACCTCGGTGTGGACGGCAGCAGGGCCTGGGACGCAGGTCAGTAGCGTGTTGCTTTCCTCTGTCCGCGCGCGAGCTTGCCCCGGCGTCCGTCATTCCCAGACAGAGTTAAGAGCTTGTTTACTGTGACGCTCACGGGGTTCCCTGCCGGACATGGTGCAGCCTCTAGCCTTGCTCCCTTCTCAGGTCTGTCCTGTCCGCCAGAGCGCATGGAGGTGATGGGGCCTCCCAGATCACCTGCAGCAGTGGGGCGAGGCCGGCTCCAGCCCCAGGACGGGGGCAGTGGAGAGTAAGAAAGTGCACTATGGGCTTTTTGGCTTTTTAGCTAAAAAGCCACCCTAAGGAGGCATCACTGGGATGCTGTGGTCCTTTGCGCCCCCCCGACCCCCTGTTGTGGCCGCTGTCAGTGGCCATCGCCAAGGTTAGAGCTAAGTGACTGGATGTGGTGAATAAAGCCCAGTGCCCACCCTGGTGGATCTAGAAGCTGCAGTGGGCACAGGAATATTCCTTTGTAATAAGATGCTGACCTCTTAACTCTTGTCTGTTTAGCTCTTTTTTCTTTTTAAAGATTTATTTGTTTATGCATACAAGAACTGGGGTATAGTTCTTGTATACCCAGAGGTGCAGGTGTGTGTGTGTGTTTGTGTGTGTGTGTGTGTGTGTGTGTGTGTGTGTGAGGATTCACCAGAGACAGAGTGGGGAACAGAACCGGCATAGCTACTGAAATACACTGCTGAAGGGAGCAGCGGGTGGGTCAGGAGAGGTCTGCTGTGCCATGTGTGTAGCTCCCTGGCTGGCAGGGAAGCAAACTCATGCTGCAGAGGCGGTGGACAGCTTCACAGTGCTGTGCTTAGCTCCTTGCGCCACCAGGGAGGCCTTTTTAGCTCTGTCTTATTCCCCAAGGTCTTTGGAGTGCCTTTTTTTTTTTTTAAAGATTTATTTATTTATTTATACAAGCACTGGGTACAATCAGAAGCGTGGGAGGGTGAGAGAATTCACCAGAGCCAGAGTGGGGAACAGAATAGACAGACCGATGAAATACACTGCTGAGGGGAGCAGCGGGCGCGGCAGGAGAGGTCTGTGCGCCATATGAGACCCTCGCTGGCAGCCGGCGATCGAACTGGTGCTGCAGAGGCTGTGGGCAGCTTCGCAGCCCAGCGTTCAACTGCTGTGCCACCAGGGGAGGCCCTGGAGTGCCTTTTATAAGGTGGGCGGAACAAATAACAAAAATAAGTTCGAGATGGCTACGTCTACATCTGCTGTATTTTTTCCTAGCAAAAATTCTGATGGAACTTTGATTAGGATTATATTTTATTTATCTTAAATAACTTGGAGGGAGATTTGATGTCTTTATAACGTTGGAGCTTCCCATCCGGTGTGTGGGTATAAAAGAAAAGAAGTTAGGCCCTTCTAACATGTTTTGTGTCGACCCCAGAAACAACACCACACGATTCCATTCAGGTGAAATTTCTAGAACATTTCTGTAGGTGGCTAGTGTTGGACAGAGGCTGGGGCGGGGATGGGGAGTAGCTGTGCTAGAAACCTTCTGCGCTGAAGTTCAAGATAAGAGACCAAAAGCTGAGATTGGAGCCCTGGTAAGTTTACCTCCCAAACAAGGTGAAAGTTGATTCTGTTTCCCCAAGTTGCTGATCTGCAGGTGTGTGTGTGTGTGTGTGTGTGTGTGTGTGTGTGTGTGTGAGTGAGAGAGAAAGAGAGAGAGAGAAAGTGTGTGTGTATGTGTGTGTGTGTGCAGCGTGCTGGACAAGTAAGTCCTTGGGTGTCAACCTCAGACTGACTGTCTATAAAAAGAAACTAAATACAACACAGGAGAGGCAAAGTCACCACGCCTGTCCCCACCAGGTGAAGACCTTGGCTGACATCCGTGGGGTGCTCTGTGAACTACATTCACACCTGTGATTGTAGATAAGTGAGATTTTTTTCAATGTGATCCTGTCGCTTGATGGGTATCTCCCCTTGTCAACAAACCTACATTTCTATGTCCTGTCCTCACACTTGATAAACATTCCACCTCACAGGGGAATGGCAATTCACTTCTTCAAAAGTAATTTACAGTTGGCTTAGTGAGTCTCCCATTGGTGGGCTTTGTGGGTGTTTATTTTCTTTTCCTCTTCTTTGTTTTTGTTGGTTTGCTTGCTGTGCTGTGGGATGATGACCTGGGGCAAACTCTCTATCATGGGGGGTCAATTTCTGCAAGTAGGTTTGTGGGGGGGTGTGTTTAAATCGGGGTGTTCTCATTTACATTTTTGACATCCAGTCTCATGACTTCCAGAAATGCACCATTTCCCCTCTCGGCTCATTTCCACACCCACCTGACTAGTTGTATGTCTTTGCCCACCTACAAGCCAGGGCATTTACGGGGCTGCTGCTTAGCCTCCTCGGTTACTGGGCAGACTGCTTTTTCTCTCGGGTGCTCTCTGTGGGCTGCCTGACTGAGGTCTTTTCGGGCCTCGCTATTTGGGTTCTTCTCTCACTGGTTGGTGGAACTTCCTCTATTTCTGCACTTCTCAGACACTGCCTGGTATTTGCCACGTAGGCTGTGAATATTCTACTGAGCAATAGGGGATTTTTAGCTATTCTGTGTCCCCACGCCCCGCTCTGGGCTCCGTACGGCATGCTTCCAGATCGTGAGACTGTAGAGAACAATTCACCAGTTGTTCAGATGGAATGTTTTACACTTAAATCTTTGCGCCATATGAAATTTAACTGTGTTAGTGGGTCTCAGCTGGGGATGAGTCTGATGTCCCTGGGTGGGGACATTTGGGGCTGTCAGATGGGGTGCTGCTAGCATGGAGTGGGCCAGGGATCTGCTTAACATTCCATCATACCCAGGATGGTTCCCCACTGAGAGTGACTGGGCCTGATGTCAACAGGCAGTGGGAGAGACCCTGTTGGAAGGGGCCAGATTTATTCAGTGGGCTGGTACCATGGAGGGTCTTGTGGGGTTCTCTTTTACCAAGGAGCCTTGTTTCTCCTGTAGGGGTGCCCTGAAGTGGGTAATGGCAGGCTTTCCCCGATCATCTCTCAGTTAATAGTCTCCCTGAACACATCCTGTGTGCCAGGCACTGTTAGCTCTGCCGAGGTGCTTACACACTGCTCCCTAACAATATATGGGGGTGCTTTGGCACACACCTTCCCCAGACGGGAGGAGATGAAGGCGCTGAGACCTTGACCAGGTCTCCCACTGCTGAGTGGCCACCTCTCAGGAGAGCCGGCATGTCCCTGAGCCAGGGTCGCCCATCTTGACAGCAGAACTAGTGCTCTGGTTCTTCAAACACCAGCATTGCTCTGAATTTCTGCAGACACGGAGCTAGCGATGATGCAGGAGTTGGGCATTTGCAGGAATTTGCTTCTGGAATGTTGGGGACATTTGCCAGAATGCTGCTGTTCTCACTGACAACCACTAGGGGGCAGAAAAGGTACACGATGCTGTCCAGTGGTGCCCAGCCTTCATGGGGGAGGGGGCGCATCGGGTGGAGATGCAGGTAGGTGCAGGTGGGCATCCCAGGTGTCTTCAATCTGGCTGTGACCCTTCTTGGAGGCCTATGAACAACCCATCCCCATTCTCTGGAGTGTTTCAGTTCAGCACCAAGCATCCCAAGGTCCCCCTGTCCCTCTCAGCCCCCTCCTTGCTTGCTGCTTGGAACCAGCATCTGCGAGTCAGCCCCTTCTGTCAGGCAGAGAAGGGAGGCAGAGAGCATGAACTCTGGGATCTTGGGGGACTTGGTGTTCACACCTACCAACCCCATCCTGGATCTGACATGACCCAGTGGCCAGAGCAGAGGCTGCACCAGGGAAGCGAATACGAATGGGTGTGGGAGTCTGGCTGTACATCCCCCCACCCCCAAGCACAGGGTCTTGTTTCTGGGACTCCCCCTCTCCCATCCCTGAAGCCATGACTGGGTTCTACCCCAGGCCAACCCCACAAAGCCTCTCCTTTGGGAGTAACCTAAATGACTGATCTCAGCGCCCCTCAGGTCTCTGCGTGTAGAATTGCCCCAGTGTCCCCTGAAGCCCCCACTGTCTTTGGGTGTGGCTTCCGCCTTGGGTACAGACATGGAGGTGGTTACTGCCTGGCCCTACAGCATCAGGAGCAGACCCCCTCCCCCCACCCCAGACACTGACACGTTTCCATGGGGCGGATCTTCCCTTGTCCTGGAGCTCTGGGGGTGCTGGGACTTCAGCAGGTTAATTCTGGCCTTGTGGAGCGGCACATGAGCGTCCCTTGGGAACAACTGTGGTGAGACAGGCTGTCCCTTTCACCCGAGGGGGTCACCCGAGCGCCTCTCCGGGCTGTCGTGGTGCTGGCCTTCCTCCGGACGTGACCTTGTGTCTAGAGCTGCCCTGTCCAGTATGGCAGCCGTTGGGCACCTGGGTGGAGTGTCACTTTGCATATATTGGGCTAAATCAGTGACTCTTAGAGAGGAAGCCCGCCCTCAGGGGATGCTGGGTAAGGTCTGGGGACACCGGGGCCTGTCATGTTGTGGAGGGGGCTCCTCGCATTGAGTAGGCTGCAGCCAGGGGTGCTGATCAACACCCCATAGTGCTCAGAAGGGCCCCCACAGAGAGTGACCCCATGTCGAAGCCCCCACATCCAGTGCAGAGGGGAGGGACCTGCATTTCTCCAGCCTCCTTGCTCATGGTGTAGGAAATCTGTGGCCTACAAACACAGTGTGTTTTCCTGCTGGCTCCTTGTTCTCCTGGGAGCTTTCGAGCATTCCTGCTGAAAGCGTTGCTGGAGCCTTTTATCTCGAGAGGGTGGCTCTTGTGCCGGGAGCAAACTCCAACGCCAGCATGCAAAGCACAGTGAGTTTCTTTTTCCCTGGTTGGTCACTCGCCTTAAATCTGCCCTGGGCATGTTGAAATTCACATTATTATCAGTTCTTTCTCTGGACAAGTTGTTCTCCTGAAAGAACTGCCAAAACATACAGTCAAAACCTTAAAATGTTCTGCTCACAGAGGGTCACAGTCTTCTGCTGCCTTCCCCACAGAAAACATACACGGTGCATATGTAATTACCC